CGGACGGGGGGGGGGTGTGTGAGTGACCTCCCCGGGGGGGGGGACCACGATGCTGCCGGAGCCCCGGTCCTGCTGCTGGGGGGCCCTTCGGGGGTCGCTCCCTTATTTCAGCCCTTCACCCACGACCCCGGAGCGGGGGGGGGCACACGCGGGGGGGCTCCGTGGGACGCGGCCGGTCCCAATCCGGTCGCTCGGCACCGAATCCCGGCGGGGTTGGTGGGGGGGGCACCGGGCCCGTCTCGAGCAGCTCCGGGGCTCACGGGAGGGGGGGATGCGGGAGGGGGCGCGGATGCGGCGGCACCGGGACCCCCCCCGCGCCGGGACCCCCCCGCCGCCCCCGGGCGCGGATTGGCGGCGGCGGGGGCGCAGGGCGGGGCCGGCCCGGTGGAGCCATGACGTCACCGCCGCCGCCGGTCCCGCCCCGGCCCCGATCCCGCCCCGGTCCCGGTCCCAGCCCCGGCCATGCCGCCCCGGCCCCGCCGTAGCCCCCGGTGAGTCCGGTCGCGCCGCGGCGGGGGGCGGGCGGGGGGCCCGGGGGGGGTTCCGGCCGCTCCTCGGGGCACCGGCGGGGGGGGTTCGTGGCCTCCGGGCACCGGGACGTGCCGGGAGGGGTTGGGGGGCGACCCCAGGGAAGCGGCGCGGGGTGGCCCGGTCGGAGCCCCCCGCATGTCCCCGGTGCCCCCCCGGTGCATCCCGGTTGTGTCCTCGGCTCTCCCCGCTGTCCCCACTGTTCCCAGTGCATGCTGGGGTGTCCCCAGTGCCCCCAGTGCATCCCAGCTGTCCCTGGGGTGTTCCCAATGTCCCCAGAGCATCTCGGCTGTCCCCAGTGTCCCCAGTGCATCTTGGTTGTCCCTGGGGTGTCCCCACTGCACCCTGGCTGTCCCTGGGGTGTTCCCAATGTCCCCAGTGCATCCTGGCTGTCCCCAGTGCATCCTGACTGTCCCTGAGGTGTCCCCAGTGTCCCCACTGCATCCTGGCTGTCCCTGGGGTGTTCCCAGGGCATCCTTACTGTCCCTGTTATGTCCCCAGTGCATCCCGACTTTCCCTGGGGTGTCCCCGGTGCATCCTGGCTGTTCCTGGTATGTCCCCAGTGCATCCCGGTGTCCCTGGGATGTCCCCCACTGTCCTCCATCCCACCTGCTGGTCCCCACTGTCCCCAGAACACCCCAGCTGTCCCCTGCGTGTGTCTCTGCTGTCCCCACTGCATCCCTGACCGTCCCCAGTGCTGCCACCGCATCCCTGCGTGTCCCTGCGTGTCCCTGGCGAGTCCCAGCTGTCCTCGATGTGTCCCTGCACCCCGAGGCTGTATCTCTGGCACATCCCACTTGTCCCCGGTGTATCCCGGCTGTCCCCAGGGTGTCCTTGCTGTCCCTGCTGCATCCTGGCTGTCCCTGGGCTGTCCCCGGGCTGTCCCCAGTGTGTCCTGGCTGCCCCCAGAGCAGCCCAGCAGGGCTGGGGGCACTCAGGGCTGTCCCCCCATGTCCCTGGGCTGTCCCCAAAGCAGCCCAGCAGGGCTGGGGACACTCAGGGCTGTC